GATACAAGTTTGGTTGTCACGTACCTGTGAAGACCGCTGTGCAGTCCAACGAAGAAGAAGAAGAAGGCCATAGCTGCGGAGCTCCACCACAGAGTAACGAAGGGAGTTGTAAGAGAGGACTGAGGGAGAGACCGAGGAGAGAAGTGAAGCGGATGAAGAAGCAGGGAGAGACGAGAAAAAAAAAAAAAAAAAAAAAAAAAAAAGAGAGAGAAGACGGCCGGGGTGAAGAAGAAGGCGGCGAGGAAGGAGGAAGGAAGGAGAAGGAGAAGGGTGGTGAGGAAGAAGAAGCCGGCCACCATAGCCGGATTGGGAGTTGACCGGAGACCGAGCGTTGACCGGAGTTGACCGGAGTTGAACGAGAGTTGACAGAGAGTTGATCGGGGGTTGACAGCAGCGTTGACCAAGCATTGACCAAGACTGTTGACCACGATTTTGACCTAGCTGGATCCGGTATAATCTTGCCAAGACTTCAGCCTTTCCCCTCGCCCTATGGATGTGCACACACCCTGTGGTACTTGCTGAGTCAAGTTTGCCTGTCTCTTCTTTCTGCATTGAGTCTCTTCTGTCCAGGTGATAGGACTCTGTGAATGAAGGATAGGGCCTTGTTGACCAAACCCACAAGGGCTGAGTAGGGCTAAAGACTGTGTTTGACGACTCGACTGTCCCGGAGGACACGAACCCTCCCAAGGACCGGTACTGACCGGCGGGCTGCTCGTTGTGGCACGGTAGGCCCAAAATCCGAGTTGTGGGCTGCACAACACGCGGTCTAAGAGGACCTGCTGATCGCGTCATCCTGTCTGCAACATTAAAGAATTCCTGAGGAGTTACGGGGGATCTCCTTAAATGCCTCCCGATCAGCAATAGGTACTGTAGTGACAACCTTAGCGTAGGTCCAGGCTAGTGACCCTAGTTGACAGGATCCTGTCCGGATTCTGTAGTCCTTAGATCGAGTCAATAGGTCTTGTCAGTCAAGGGGGTAGAGTCTAAGTGGTGAGGAGTGGAACCGTTGCACGGTTGTGCACCTGACACCATGGTTGACACACGTGGAGGGAAGAGTGCTACCCGTTACACCCAGGTTCAGGAGGAGCAATTCGCTGCCATCCTGAGAGAGAGAAGGGAGAAAAAGGAGAAGGAGCTCCTCAAGCAAGCGAAGCTGAAGGCGATAGTTGAGGAGCAGGCGGCAAAGAAAAAGAAATTGGAGGAGGAGATGTTAAGATTGCAGCAGGAGGAGGAAGAGAAAAGAAAGGCTGCCGAAGAAGCAGCAGCAGCAGAGGAGGAAGAGGTAGAAGAAGAACCCCTCGAAAGGAGGCGTGGGGAAGAGAGAGGAGAAAGCAGTGGCACGAAGGCAGAGGATAAGTGGATGGAAAAGAAGATTAGTGAGTGGGTAGCTAATTTATTGCTGGGAGAAGATGAGGAGGCAATGTTGTACGTGCCTCAAGAGGAGAAGGAAGCATTCGCCAGGGAGCTGGAAGCTAAGGAGGACCCCCTGGAACGCCAGACGATGGAAGACGAGAAGAGGTTGGAGTGGAAGTTGCGTCTGGCAAGGGAAACGAAGAGGAGGAGGGAGGAGGCCAACCGGATGGGCAAAGAAGTGGAGAAGATTCAGGCGTCCAGGCAGGAGGTGCAAGCGCAACACGAAAGCCCTGCCAAATTAAACAAGATTCTGGGCTATCTTGAGATTCTGAGTCTGGCCTGGCTTGAGGAACATCAGGCCAATAAGGGTCAGGAAGTGACCCTCCACTCCATCCGGACCGGCTTTAGAGAGTTTGCGCGCGATGTGGTGACCCACGCCGGGACCAAGGTAAAGAGATTGAAAGAAGGCGCAAAGAAGTTCTGCGCAGGTGCCAAAGTAGTGGTCGAAGCTGAAGTGCGTCCCTGCAAAGAGCCCGTCAAGCGCAAATTTCCTGACTCGTATAGCGGGAAAAAGGATGATAGTTTTAAGAACTGGGAAGCCAGCATCAACGCATATGTGTATCTACAGCATACCGCCCCCGAGGAACAAGTCCTCGTGGCCTTCCATGCATTGAAGGATGAAGCGGCCAGTTTTGCTAGGTGCCTTGCGCGCGCAGCCGATTGTGAAAACAATATGGTTGCCTACTCTAGAGTCACCCCCCTTTCCACTTTCCTCAAACTCCAGCGCGAGAGGTTCGCTGACGTCACAAGGCGTGTCAGGGCCTCTGACAAGCTCCAGACCATCCACTCACGACAGTGGAGGAGTGCGCAAGCACTCAAAGCTGTCATGGATGACTTGGTAGCCGTCCCAGACCACGGGGTCACTGAGACCCAGTTGGTCCAGTTATTTTATCGTGCAATGCCAGAGCCCCCGCGAGGGCATTTCTTTGATAAGACCCAACCGGCCAATATGACGTACGATGCATTAAGTAGAGAAGTGGTCATGTTTGAGGCAAAGTCCATGCCAGTTTCCACTTTCTGGCATAAGGACTTAGATAAGGGGAAGAAGTGGAAAGGTCGTACCATCTCAGAGCAGGTCAGGGCCAAGGATCATTTGATCCTTACTTTAGATGAAGGCGGTATTGACGAAGTCCCCTACAGTCAGATAGAGTGGGGGCTAGAGGAGGAGGACAGTAGTGTAGGTCAGGGGAGGACGTACGCTGCTGTCGCGGTTGGAGGGAGCCGAGAGGAGGCCAGGGCCAAGGGGGTCGGGCCATGGGTGGTCGAGGTCCGGGTGCACAGGGGGTTGGCGGTCAAAGGAACCGCCAAGCGGGAGGTAGGGGTCAAGGTTCCCCGCCGGATCGCTCAGGACCCAGTCGGTCGCCGCAACGCAGAGGTGGAAGGTCACCTCAAAGGCAAGGAGGTTGGCACCTAGGTTGGCCACAGGGCCAGCCTTGGGAAGATTTGGGCTTGGACCAACACGTATGGCAACAACGTATGGAGTAGGGGCAGTGCATCTACTGCGGTGACCCTGCCCATATTATCAAATATTGTCCAAAGTATAGGGAAGCCCGATTCGCTGCCCAGGGGTCAAAAGGAAGCCGCCAGTAGGGGTTGCAACTGCCCCTGCCACAAGGCCATGTGGGTAAGTGTGCGCGCACCACCAAAAAACTCCCACACCACATGAGCCTATGGCAGAGGTTGCAGGCCAGTGCCTAGCTAGCTGTCCAGAGACTGCTTGTGTTAGCGTCTCTCTAGGCACTTCCCTCACATGTGTGGCAGAAAAGTTGAAGGAGAGGATGCCTACCTGGGCCAAAATGAAGAAGGATAATAAGGGATAACTAGTCCTAGTTGATGTAGAGGTCTTTAGAAGTAGAGTAGGGGCCCTTATCGACTCAGGGGCTACCCGCAGTTATATTAGCCGTAGAGCGTTGAAGAACCTAAGGCTAGGGTTGAATTCTGGAAGTTGGAAGACTCCATAGTTAGTGTCCTCGCAGACAACCGCACTATGCGTGTTGAGGACTACGTAGGAGTCCAGGCGTATTTCCGCCTAGAGAAAGATGGGAAGGTGGAGAAGGTTCGCCATTCCCTGACTCTCCTCGTGCAGGATAACCTTCCTTTTGATATAGTCCTAGGCATGGACTGGGGAGAGGCAGCAAGGGCCACACTTCATTTGAGAGAGCATGAGTGTAGGCTCCCTAGTCCGTCAAGCGAGATGAAGACTGCCCACCTGTTTCATGTGTCTGGAGTAGATAACTCCTTGGCACATTGCTGTCTCAGTGCTCCCGCATTCACACGATTAGTGAGAAAGGAGCAGTTAGAGGAGCAGGTCTTCGTAGCCTATGTGAGGCCTGATACAGAGCCTAAGGAGGACGCACCCATAGGCCCAGCTATTGTCAAGCTGCTGGAAGAGTTCAAAGATCTTGCAGAGCCGCCGACATGGGTAGTGTCGCGGCCGATCCAACATCGTATAGAGATAGAGCCTGGAAGTAGGACTCCTAAGGGAGCAGTCTACAGGATGTCCCCGAGGGAGTTAGAGGAGCTGCGAAAACAATTAGACGAACTCCTAGAAAAGGGTTGGATTAGGCCTTGTTCATCTCCTTTTGGAGCCCCAATTTTGTTTGTCCCCAAAAAGGAAGGAGAGTTACGGATGTGCATAGACTATAGGGGTCTAAATGCGATCACAGTGAAGAACGCTGAACCGCTGCCCAGGATAGACGATCTTTTAGATCGGGTGCAGAGTTGCAGATATTTCCCGAAGATCGATTTGAAGTCCGGATATCATCAGATAGAGGTTCATCCTGATGCCAGTACAAGACTGCGTTCCGGACTAAACATGGGCATTATGAGTTCATAGTGATGCCCTGTGGACTAACCAATGCGCCTGCCACATTCCAGCGTTGTATGAACGATTTGTTTAGGCCATGTTTAGACAGGTTTGTTGTAGTTTATCTAGATGATATATTAGTATTCAGTAGGACCCTCCAAGAGCATCAGGGTCATTTGAGGCAGGTCTTGGAGAAGCTGAGAGAAGCTAACTTCAAGATCAATACAAAGAAGCGTGAGTGGGCCAAGACACAAGTCTTGTACTTGGGCCACGTTCTAGACGGAGATGGCATTAAGCCTGAGGACAGTAAGATAGCGACGATTAGAGATTGGTCGACGCCCCGCACGTTGACTGAGTTGTGGTTGTTCTTAGGCCTAGCTAACTACTATAGGAAGTTCGTGAGGACCTTCTCGACTATCGCCGCTCCCCTTCGCAGGTTGCTCAAGAAAGAGGCAATCTCGCAGTGGGACAAAGACTTGTCCTCAAAGTAGCAAATCCGTCCTTGCCATTTGTCGTCACCACGGGCGCAAGTCAGTATGGGATAGGCGCCGTGTTACAGCAAAACGACGGCAATGGCTATAGACCCATAGAGTTCATGTCAGCGAGGATGCCCTCAGAAAAGGTAGCTACCTCGACATACGAGAGAGAACTCTACGCTCTCAGGCAGGCTTTAGACCATTGGAAGCATTACCTGCTTGGGAGGCACTTCAAGGTGTATTCAGACCACGAGACTCTTAGGTGGTTGAAGACACAGGCCAAAATGACACCTAAGTTGACTAGGTGGGCCGTTGAGATAGACCAGCATGACTTCGAGCTCAAGCCTGTTAAAGACAAGTACGATGTAGTTGCGGACGCTCTAAGTAGGAGATCAGACTACTTTGGAGCCATAGTTCACTATCTGGATATAGGGAGTGACCTGCAGGAAAGAGTTAGACAGGCGTATGCGCAGGACCCTATTTATAGCGCCCTCCTCAGGAGAGTTAAGGAGGCCCCCGAGACGAACCAGATTACCGCACTACATAGGGCTTGTTATTTGAGAATACTAATGTAGTAGACCGTCTGTGCGTTCCTAACAGCGAGGAGATCCATAGTTTGATCCTAGGGGAATGCCACGATGCAGAGGGACATTTTGGTTGGCAAAATACTTCAGCCAATCTGATGCATGCATACACTTGGCCAGGAATGAAAGTTGATTGCATAGAGTATGTCTGCACTTGTAAAGTGTGCCAGAGAAACAAGACCACCACGCGTGCCCCTCTAGGTCTTCTCAGACTCTTGCCTATTGCTGACCAGCCAGGAGACTCCGTGTCCATTGACTTTATGGATACTCAAGTCAAGAGTAGGCACGGCAAGAGCCAAGTCATGGTCATAATTGATAGATTTAGTAAGTATGCTGTTTTTGTTGCTTTGCCTGCAGAGGCACGCACCGAGTTAGTAATTCAGAAGTTTTTTTATTTTTGGGTTAGTGAGCATGGAGTCCCATTGTCCATCGTTAGTGATAGAGACACCCGTTTCACGAGTCATAACTGGCAGGAACTAATGAAAGTTTATGGGTCAAAGTTGCTGATCTGGCCGTCATCCAGAGACTAACGGTCAGACTGACCAAATGAATAAGATCCTGCAGCAAGTTCTGCGCAGGTACATTAGACCAGATCAAGTCAATTGGGACGAGATGTTGCCCAAGGTAGCCAGTGCGTACAATAACAGTGTGCACCTGTCCACCTGTGCGTACAATAACAGCGTGCACCTGTCCACCTGTCGAACTCCCAACGAGTTACACAAGTCCTTTAGGCCGCGTAGGCCGTTTGAGGGACTCAACCGGGACCAGATTCACAGGCTACCGCCCGGTACCAGGGAGTTTGCCGTACAGCACGAGAAAGAGCTAGCGACAGTCGTCGAGAACCTCAGGAAGGCCCAGCACAGAATGATAGAGCAAGCCAACAGGCACCGTTGCCCATCGCAGTTCCAAGTAGGCGACTTAGTCAAGTCCAAAGAGTTCGCTCCTGAGGAGAACATCTCGCAGAAGTTACTGCCAGCGTACAGGGGACCATGGCCAGTTCTAGAAGTCGAGGGCGGAGAAGATGGGCCGTCCTACACAGTCGAGATCCCAACACACCTCCACACCTACCCCGTATTTCATGCGTCGAAGTTGTTACCATGTGTTACAAGTCAGCAGTTTCCATCTAGAAGATCAATGATACCCCAGACATGCACGGAAGGTACGACATTGACGGCATTGTAGATTTAGACGTGTTCAGAACAGGAGGTAGAGGTCGTCCACAGAAACAGTATAAGGTCCGGTTTGCTTATCAGGAACTAGAGGACGACCGCTGGTTTACTAGAACAGAACTTCTAGAAACAGCTCCCGACGTAGTTAGGGCCTATGAGAGAGATAGGAAAGGTAAAGGTCCTGCCTTGGACTGAGTTATTCTCGGAGGACCTCGAATTTAGGCCGGCGGGAGTGAAAGGGTATTCACCTGTTCGCAGTAGCTAATGCAGATCCCAGGGCTCGATCCCTAGACTTTACCTTACCTGTGTACATTACCTATGTCGACCCCAGGAGTTGAACCCACGACCTGTGTCTGTTCCCACAGTTGGTAGACTGTCGTAGGGTCTGTAGATTGTAGGGGTTCGATCTGTAGGCCTGTAGAATAGTGGTCTTAGGGAGTTCTAGAAGTCGTAGCTGTAGGACCTCTGAAAGGTCAAGGTCGTAGCTGCTACAGTCCTGAAAGGTCCAGGTCGTAGCTGCTACAGTATCCGTAAGGCCAGAGTTGAAACTTCTGGAAGGTCCTGGCACTGGCCTTTCGAAGCTGCTCACGTTTAGGCTGGAGGCGTGATTGCACGATTTGTGTGCCCCGGAACGAGCTTTGGGAGCGCTTAGCGCACGCGCGATTGCACCCTGGTACTGGCCCGCGCCGCGTCACCGGTTGACGCGTGTCGCGGCCCGACCTTCCGTTGGAGGGGGTTCCACGTTGCGCCCTGCAGCGGCCGCGGTTCCGACACGTGGCGATTTCATGCTGGCATATCCGGGGACACAGTGGAGTTCACCTGTGGTAGGATCGAAGTGTGCGTCTACGTGGAACGATCGCAAGCAAGTCAATCAGAGTTGGAAGAAGGCACGGAGGAAGATACACCGCAGACATCGAAGCGACCTGGAACTGACGTGAAAACAGAGCGATGCAGATATAAGGAAGACTGTACTAGAAGGGCGACCCGAATTTGACGTGGGAACGGAGGACAGCGTAAAAAAAAAAAAAACACAATAACTGTCTATCAAACGAAGGGCGGGTTGGATCGTTGTAAAAGAGGATCGCAATACAAGTCACACGAAGCGGGGAGAGAAAGGGACGCGTGGACACGACCGATCTAAACTAGGTGTTAAGACGGGAGGCAGCGAGGAGGGCGTAGGGAGAATCACACTGGAGATACCAGAGAGACGCGTGGATCGGGCCGGTCCAAATTTGGTGCGAAGACGGGAGGCGGTGAGGTGGGAACAGGGAGAAACACACGGGAGATATCGAAGCGATCCGAGTCCCGACGTGAAAACGGAGCAGTGAAGACACGGGGAAGAGTACA